ATGTTTCAATGTTTTGTCCATACAAAAACATTAATTTGTATACAAATTATGTATTGATTTCGTACTCACAACTGACACGTAAATGACATTGACAGAAACAATTGAATTTGTCAACAAACTAAATTTTACATAAACGACTATGATCTTTTAAAAAATATTTTGTTTTCAGTAATTTTATAATTGCTTCATTTTAATTACAAAAATATGAATTTATATGAATAAAAAAAACAAAATTTCTTATTTTACAAAATTTTTTCTTAAATGTAATAGTAAAAAATGACAGTAATGGTAATTGTAACGACTTTGATCAAAGATTTTCCAATAAATCCAATACATTTTATAATATTCTAAAAAAACAGTAATTCCTAATTTCCAGGACTTTGGTAATGCATATCTACTTCATACTTCACTACATGATTAGTAATTAAAACGACTTCAATCGCACTTTGTATCACGGATGCAGAGTGTAATGATGTATTCGGAATCGGGTCGAAACTAGCTGCACGTATGGAGCATCTGGATACTCAATTTTCGGGAGGATACTAATAAACCCAGAAGGGAAATGAAGAACCTCCGTATAAGCGCAGCGTTGTAATGGATAGGTCTATTATCGAAAACTAATAGTGCGGAATAGAATGGAAATGGAACTAAGCTCCTTAAGTCTTTTCATATGCACAAACCGCTAAAACCCTTTTGTTTCCCCAACCTCATAATCCTTTATAAAACATTTTATCATGTTACTAATTTAAAGTGAATTTTTATCTCGAAGCCTTGTTTATTTGCGACGAGGCAATCTATCATTTAATTATCTCCGGGCGTTCGGAAAGAAATTACAGACGGATTTTTTTATTTTTTTGCATCGTTTCATTTTTCCACCCACGGATAATTTGCATTCAGTGGCGAATGCATCAACTCGACTGGTTATTGAGCGCACTTTAATCTACATGCAGGAGGAAAAGAGATGGAAACACTGAATCAACGCTTTTATTTTTAAAGCGAAGAGGAGACATGGAAATTCATGCGAAGGCGCAGAGAAATTGCAGATCATGCATACACAAAAGGAGAAACACACAACAATTGCCTTGATCGATCTGCGTTTTAGTTTTTTTTTTTTTTTGATAAGAGGGTTAAAGACTTATCGATTGCATTTACAGGAATTACTTCGCATCGCCGGAGTAGTCTTAATCTGAACGAAATCTCGCAGACGTATATAATCTTATACAAGAGCAACAACGAATTCAATCGGAGTTTGTTTGCGGTTCGAATCCTGTTATTGTTATTTTATTTTTTTATTCTCAATGTCAATGAACACAATTGATTGGAGGTATTCAACCGTAAAACCAATTAATTGAAATCCTTTACACTGAATCAAAAATTTATTATATTATTTTTTTTGTTCTTTTATATAAAACGAGAATTACATTAATATTTATTTATATCAAAAGCTATACAAAATAATTATATTAAAATTTATTGGAATTGGAATTTCTTTGTAAAAGCCAATATGAAGTACAGGTATCCCTTGACTTTACGAAGTTCCGTTCCAAAAGGTATAGTCTCAAATAGTCTCAGTAAAACGTTAACATAAAATCCTAAGATGAGCATAGTCTTAGTCAATCTTTTAAAGTATCTACATTGTCTTGGAAAGGATCCCAAGAGTACCAATTATTATAATAAACTTGTTTTAAACCAATTGAATTATATTTATATTTAAATTCAGATATAAGAGCCCAAATTAAGAAAAAAATGTTTTATTCAAATCTTTATAAAAGCACTTCTTTAATCATAAAAAAAAACATCTTACCTGTTTTTTATTTCATTATTCAACATTACCTACTGTTAAAAATACATCTAGCTTCAATTCACATTATTTGTTTTAAACAGTTTTAATCGTCGAAAAACAACATTGAATTTGGAAAGTGCTGGAAAAGGGTTAATAGTTAATAAAATGAAAAATTTACATTGCTTAAGTATATCTAATAGAGTTAAATTTACAATTCCTATGAAAATAATAGCAATTATTAAGTAAATAATATGTGTTTTCTTACCACAAATGGAGTTAAGCCACTTTCAAAATTAACAATTAGATTATAAAATTTGAAAGACTTGGACTTGAAATATGGTTGAAATTGGAAAAAACTGCATAAATTTGAAAAAAATAAATTAAAATAAACAAAATACTTACTTATTTGAAAACTGGAAGAAAATAAAATGCAGAAAATGTTAAAAAAAAAACGATCTAAAATGTACTTTGTATATGGAAATGATATATATTTTTATCACATACACGTATATTTTTAAATATGTAAGTCCGGGAGTTCGTAAGTCGAGTGAAACTTGTATTGATTTTGGTGTTATGTTCAGCATGGATTTAGAAGGAAGAACAGAGAGGTGTCCAGTTTCAAGTAGAAACCTGGATGACAAGGATTCGCACGGTCAATGGCTTGCAACTATCCAGAAATTCAGATTATCGCACGTTCCAGGCGGTTTGCACTTCATGCACCCTTGTAACACTCAATCAAACTTAAGAATAATTGTTAAGATTAAACGAACAGCACGTCAAAACACATTATTCAGCAATCTTATAATTACTCAAAACACACACTTTCAAACATTGTTTACAATTTAATTAATTATTAATATAATTATATATTGTAATTTTTTTATTGAGTCTAAATCAATTTTAGTAAAAGTTTTTAACAAATTTTCAAAGAATATAATAAGCCGTTTGTTTTGAAAGTGACTTAAGTCAATTTATATTTAAATTGAGATATAAGAGTTAACCAACCTAAATTAAGAAAAAAAATGTTTTATTCAAATCTTTATTAATAAAAAACATCTTACCTGTTTTTTTTTTCATTTCTCAACATTACCTACTGTTAAAAATACATCTAGCTTCAATTCTCATTATTTGCTTTCAACAGTTTTAATCGTCGAAAGACAACATTGTATTTGAAAAGGGCTAGAAAAGGGCTAGAAAAGGGTTATGAGTTAAGAAAATGAAAAATATACATTGCTTAAGTATATCTAAAAGAGTTAAATTTACAATTTCTATGAAAATAATAGCAATTATTAAGTAAATAATATGCGTTTTCTTACCACAAATGGAGTTAAGCCATTTTCAAAATTAACAATTGGATTATAAAATTTGAAAGACTTGTACTTTTGAAACATGGTTGAAATTGGAAAAAACAATACTCAATTTGTTTAAATCTAATAAAATGTTAATTGTTTTCTCAAATATTTTGTTAATAACATTTGTAAATGAAATTAAAGCAATTATTTGTATGCAAAAATAAAGATTATATACCAAAAGTTAATTGCAGCAAATTATTTAACAATACAGTGAAATCTCGTTTAACAAGAACCTTGCATAACGATCTTTTCGATTGACGAGGAAAATGAATTGTAAGAAATATGACTCGTTTAACGAGCGACGTTTCGCATAACGAGTGACGATGAGAAGAGAAATCGATGTGTATTTGTGAATATGTTTCACTAAACGAGTAAAAATTCGGAAATTGGAATTTCCACTGTATATTTTTATTCTTATTAATATATTGTTTCCCCATTAACTCTGTGAATAATATAATGCAATAAAGTGAAAACTTTATATAATAATTATGAATGTGTTTAATTCAACAGTGTTTTAGTTGAACACCTGCGAAACACCAACTAAATAATTAAATTTAAGATCCGAACTTTTCGACATTGTGAATAATGAAGTGGACTTAAGTCACTTTCTAAATAATATGTTTAATCATTAAACTAAGTGTGAAAATGAATGTTTTCAAAATGATCATATACTTTGAATATAATTAACTGCAAATTACTTGCTCAAATATAACAAATATGCGACTAATAACCCACGAGCTAGTGGGCGCAGGTTCAAATCCTGATCAAGCAAGGCCCTTTGTGAGCCCTATTGGTGCTTGCAGCAATAGGACCATCGTTCATTACAGATGGACAGTCTAACGAATGAGGACAATGTCCATGGACAATGACAGTGTTAAGGATAGCAGCAGATTTGCAATCAAAGGAAATAGTAGAATCAATATACCACTGAAGTTAACCATCATCATAATGGTAACTATTCACCGGGAAATATTATCCATTTAATGTCAACCGCGATCACATTGATGAACAAATTCTAACTTTAATAAAAGCAATATAATTCTAATATAAATAAAAACAGATTGTACAAAGAAATAATGCAAACATTAAAATGTTTCTTCTAAAATGTATTCCGTCTCATATTCGGAATACCAAAGGTTATGTTAATGCGAAGGAATGCGGCCTCGCGGCTAAGCAATTTGCAAAGAGATCCACAAAATGTGGAGTGCAGTAAGTACACCACATGAGAATATCCAAGCAAAAATTCTTTTCTGCGTACATTTCCACATCAAATGCAGATGAATCATCGTTTTCCCATGGAATAAACGTGATAAAATCCGTAACGCAATAACAAGCAAACATAATAATCCCGTATCGCGAATCGCTCTGCAAATAAAACCGATATTATTTCCACCCCTCGAATACATTTTGTACATAATGTAACCGACGTGCAATTTTCAATATTTTATATTTATTTATTGCTCCAGTTTTCGTGCGTATATGTTTGGTGTTATGTTATTTCGTTGTTTTTCATTTTGTTCATGTTTTATTTTTTTTATTTTATTTATTTTTTTCGTATTTTGTTTCGATTCGAAGCGCAAATAAAGCATAATATGAACATAAAAGCAGATCGCTGTTGGATGGAAATCGAAGGGGGTTGTGGGGAGGCCGAAAACAAAATCGAGAGCGAAACAACAGCAAAAGCAAAACAAAAATTATGTAGGACAAAAAAAAATGCATTTATTTATAATGTAAATAAAACGTACGGTAGACAGAGAGAGAGAGAAAATATGGAATAAGGGTATTTACAAAACGATATTATGTGTAGAGCCGCGAAATATGATCAACAGAAACAGTAATAATATTTAATAATAATGATCGTTCGCAATTATTGTGCTTTTTTTAATTAACGTATATTTTTTTTTTGTAAAATGGAAATAAATAACAACGTTGTGTATAATTATGGAAATGCGGTTTGTTGAAATGCATACAAACAACAGATTTTTGTTATTGTCTGCGATGATGATGACAACGTCGACTACGACGACGACGGCCGTGGTTGATCAATATTTGCGTGTTTACGGTCTGCACCTTTCTGCGGTTAATGGGATGTATGCTTAAGACTAATTAAGGATATAACGTACAAAAAAAATATGTAAATTAGGCGCCCACTTTGCTGATAACTCCGGACCAGAAGGTGCTGTAACTCTTCAGCACGGTACCCCTAGGAAAAAAAAAAGAAATATATATGAAAAATTAAAATAAATTATATAACTTTTTTTTATGAAAATACGCAATATGCTTTTGTGACAGTTCAATGACATTGACAGTTCTGTCACAGTGACAGTTCGATGACATTGACAACTAAATGACATTGACAAGTTTTGAAATTTTGATGTCATATTATGAATACTATTTTTAATTAATATGCTTTTAATATAGCCGAGGAAGAAAATAACTTGTAAAAGTACGCAAGTAATTGGATTGCTGTAAAAAGTTACTTGAAAAATTTCAAAGTATGTGATTTAAAGTAAATGATGTAACTAAATACTGTTGAAGAAACTGCAAGTAGAAGTAACATTAATCGTTCGAAAGTTATTCAATACTTTTGCTGATTTTCCAACTTCAAAAGGGTTTGATTCTGATTCATGTGCGCAATCAGCTTTCGGCTTTATGTGGGATCCGGAAGGGATCAAAAAGGAATCGCATTTATTCGCCGAACTTACGTGAAGTAGACGTGACCACCGTGAGCCGTCTGCGGCGCCTGCCAGACGAGAACGGCCTGCTGCTTGTCTTTGGGATCTGCGTGAGTGATGGCACTGCACTCCGGATGTATCTTCGTGTTGGGCACTTCCAACCAGCTTCCGATCCATTCGTTCGTGGATGCATCCCTAGCCTGAATGAGGAATCCTTTGAACGTATCGTGTCCATGGATGGTGACTGGAAATTCCAACGGAGATGCGGAACAAATCATTAGTTACACAGGGCACTCGCATAATTTACACGCAAAATTCAATTCCCCCAACAAGGGGACAACAATCCCCCTCTAAAACAACCCCCCAGCATTGTACACGACCGACAAATTTATAATACCGCATAATCTGATTCGCCCGAAAATATTTTGCGCTATTTACCCCCATAAATATGAATACAAATATCGTAATAGAATTTTGCGCTATGCGAAAACAACGCGATTCTGCGAGTTCGAAAAACCGACCAATTTTTTTAAACCAGTAAAAATTTTACACATTGGATTACAGCAGCGGTATTTTTTCTGTAATATTGAAATGAATACAATTGAAATATTCATCAACACATGAAACATACAGAAAACTATTTTGTTAAGCTTATTTTAATTTAATTGTGCTGTTATGTAAAAGTTTGAAGATTAGCAAAACCAGACATTAGTACTTAGTTTCTTGTGTTGTAAAGTTCGGAATATGAAGTTAATTAAAACTGGATTTTATATTTTCTGCTGTTTCAGAGTTTCAACGATTTCAATTTAGATCCGCCGGCGATTCCCGGTTTTTGCCGGCCCCGAAGGGAAGAAGGATCAGGGAACGTGTCAAACGTGTTGCACAATCCTCAAACGTCGGAGCACTAATTAAACTCTGCCGCCTCCTTTTAATTAACCTCCAGGCGCGATTTTAAGAAACTTCTTCATCTACACTGAATCTTCTCTACGGAAGAAAGAAAAGCGAGAAAAAGAAAAAAAAGAGTGAAGCGGTATCGCCTTTTTTGGGGTCATTGTTTACGCAATTGGCACGGATTTTGTAAGAGCGCAGAATGAGGAGGAGGAGGAAAGGCGAGTATGCAAAGGCATTGGACCATGATGAGAGAGTGGAATCGATCATACGCGGAAAACGATTCGGTTTTGGGGGGTGGTTCGGCACCGGAGATAAGCCAAGGAGGAGGGTAACAATTTCCTTGCGAATTTCCTGTATACACTCAGGATGCGGGGTTGATAGAGAAAATAAGCGAATGAATAAATAAGTAAAGGACACGGACGAAGGTCTGATGGTTAAATCACCCTTGATCCGAGCTTTCTCTCTCTCTCTCCAAGCGGGTGGTTTATTTACCTGTGATCTGTGCTCCAGGACCGTAAGTGTCGCTGGATGCAATGACTTGATAAGGGTTCGTTCCTGCAGATTGCGGCGAGAAACGTCCGTGGTTCGGTTCGTTCGCGTGGTTCGGACGGACGCAGGCATCGACTGGTGCCCCGTCGGGGAAGGCCTCTATCAAACCGACTACACCGAGGATCACGAATACCAGAGCTCTGCCCATCTTGACCAGGATAACTCTTCTCGACAACTGATACCGAATCGGAGCCGCAGCAAAACGCGAAAACTCCACCAACAAAAACCACTTTCACCGCAGCTCTGATGATATAACAATATCCCATATAGTGGAGTAGTATAACAACATATGATTGACTGGTTATTACCAATTGATGTAAGCCGAGCACACACACGCACACATGCCAGATTTCTACTTTTTATTTCGTTTTACTCTTTTTTTTATCATTCTTGATTCAGTTTTCTACCTTTCTTTTCTAACTTCCAGTTTAGAATGGGATTGGCTTTGATGTATGGTAACGGCGCTTATCTTGATCATTAAGCAATGCGCCTCGGATTAGTGTCGCAATGGCTTAATTGCATATATTCAGCAACAATAGAAATTGGACTAAAACGAGCAGAATCGAATGCAGAAAAGAAATCACACTTTGTCTCTATCATATTCCATATTAATTACAAATCTCCTACAAATTTCGCAATTTATTACCAAATTTCACAATACATTACATATATAATTTCCAAACACATTAATTTCAACTGATTGAAATAATTACAATCAAATATTAAAATATAAAACCAAATTTTACAATAAATTTTATAGTTTTTTTTACCAGTTTTCGTTATAAAATTATTGTTATTTTTATCAAAATTTAATATTCTTTTATAATTATACATACTTGAAATATATAATATTATTTTAACACGTCTTTATACATCATTCCTTAATTGCAATAACAATTCCAAATTAAATATTTTTCAATATAAAATTTCAATAATTTTCATAAATACGATTCCTCGCAATGGCTTAATTGCATATATTCAGCAACAATAGAAATTGGACTAAAACGAGCAGAATCGAATGCAGAAAAGAAATCACACTTTGTCTCTATCATATTCCATATTAATTACAAATCTCCTACAAATTTCGCAATTTATTACCAAATTTCACAATACATTACATATATAATTTCCAAACACATTAATTCCAACTGATTGAAATAATTACAATCAATTATTAAAATATAAAACCAAATTTTACAATAAATTTTATATTATTTTTTACCAGTTTTCCTTATAAAATTATTGTTATTTTTATCAAAATTTAATATTCTTTTATAATTATACATACTTGAAATATATAATATTATTTTAACACGTCTTTATACATCATTCCTTAATTGCAATAACAATTACAAATTAAATATTTTTCAATATAAAATTTCAATAATTTTCATAAATACGATTCCTCGCAATGGCTTAATTGCATATATTCAGCAACAATAGAAATTGGAGTAAAACGAGCAGAATCGAATGCAGAAAAGAAATCACACTTTGTCTCTATCATATTCCATATTAATTACAAATCTCCTACAAATTTCGCAATTTATTACCAAATTTCACAATACATTACATATATAATTTCCAAACACATTAATTTCAACTGATTGAAATAATTACAATCAAATATTAAAATATAAAACCAAATTTTACAATAAATTTTATAGTTTTTTTTACCAGTTTTCGTTATAAAATTATTGTTATTTTTATCAAAATTTAATATTCTTTTATAATTATACATTCTTGAAATATATAATATTATTTTAACACGTCTTTATACATCATTCCTTAATTGCAATAACAATTCCAAATTAAATATTTTTCAATATAAAATTTCAATAATTTTCATAAATACGATTCCTCGCAATGGCTTAATTGCATATATTCAGCAACAATAGAAATTGGAGTAAAACGAGCAGAATCGAATGCAGAAAAGAAATCACACTTTGTCTCTATCATATTCCATATTAATTACAAATCTCCTACAAATTTCGCAATTTATTACCAAATTTCACAATACATTACATATATAATTTCCAAACACATTAATTTCAACTGATTGAAATAATTACAATCAAATATTAAAAGATAAAACCAAATTTTTACAATAAATTTTTTTTACCAGTTTTCGTTATAAAATTATTGTTATTTTTATCAAAATTTAATATTCTTTTATAATTAAACATTCTTGAAACATATAATATTATTTTAACACGTCTTTATACATCATTCCTCATATTTAGATTAATTGCAATAAAAATTACAAATTAAATATTTTTCAATATAAAATTTCAATAATTTTCATAAATACGATTCCTTCAAATACTCAAATATTAAACATATTGTTTATAAACCACTCCTTATAGTTTTACTAATATCGTTTTGCTCTCTACTCTGACCTTTACCTATTACTCTTTGTGATTACAATTACAACATAATAATTCACTGTTAAATTCAAATTCATAACAACTATTAAGCATCAAAAACACAAATTATTTCGATTTTATAGTATTTCTACAAATCAATATGTAAATTCAGGTAAAAATTGATAATAAATCATATTTGAATCCTTAAAAATTACAACTTGTTATTATAAAAAACTAAAAACAAAATTTGCCACAGTTACAAAACGTATCATATTTGAAGTTATTTTTTTTATTTATTATTCGAGAAACAAACGGTATTATGAGAATTCGTTGCTTGAATTGAAATAACTAAATTACATTTTATAAAAAAATAATAAATAATACGTTGAACTCTTAAACGTATTTAAAAAAAAAAACTGTAAAAATGTAAAACTGAGAAAATATTCTCTAAAAAAATGAAATTACTGTTCGTTTTGCCCTAAATCAAATAATTATACACTAGATTTTAAATACAGTTAAAATCATAGTACATTAAAAATTGGCAAAGTATAATTTTCGTTTAAAATACAGCTAATAATTATTAGACAAAAAAAATCAAGTCAAGTCCTATATAACTATCGATCCACTTCCATATCATTATAAGTTTATTGCAAATTTCTGTTGGATGAAGCAATCTATTGCCAAATTTCAGAGTCGTTTATTAAATAGGAAGCATTATACACGATTCTCGAGTCGCTAATTTTCTAGATTGCGTTAAAACAGAAAATTCTAATTTTATTACGTAACCTACCCAAAAGGTTGAATAATGGACTCATTTATACTCTCTTATTTACCTCCAAGTGCATAATAACTTTGGGACATTACCAATTCTTTCATTTTAAGCCTCTTAGCCCGTTTTTAATGAGCCGCTGCAGTTCTTTATATATTATGCATATATATTTTTACGGCTTCAAACTTTTCACTTTTCGTCGTTATATAACATCCTATTATGACATTTAACACATTAATAATACTTTTATCGTTGCATCTTCCTTACATAATTCGACTTATGTTGAATTTTGTAACTCAATTCCAATTAATATCGATTTTAACGCAAATTAAAACACATTTTTCAATATTGTTTAATGTTAACATTTTGCTTTTATTCATTATCCTTGATACTTTTGCTTGTATTTCACTCTTGCTCTTCGTTTAAACCTCGACCTTTATTTATGCCCATCCTAGTTATAATTCCTTGCATTGTTACGTTTATTATTTAATCAATTTTAACTTGAAATCGTACAGTGAATGCCGTTTCTTTACGTAATAATGTGATGCAATTATTCCATAATGTAATGCAAATCCATTTACACTCCTATTGTTCTCTACAATAATATAAAAAAAAAATGTATATGTAAGGTAAATACTGCGTAATTTAAATTGATAATAAATTTAAATTCAATTGAATATTGCAACCGATTGAAGATAGAGGACAGCACTTGACGGACTTTCACCAATCTTATAAAAATATTGAATAATCTGAATGTAATCAATTAAATTTAATAATATTACATAATCATAATGTATATTATCAATTTGAACTATAGGATTCTAAAGTTTGTTTTAAGTAGTCCTTTTGATATTCGTTTGACCTACTTTGGATTTGTCATATTTGTCAGATGGTGTTTATACGAGAAACATACATATTATTATTTTCTCTATTTTAATTTCCATTGCTCAATCTGTTTTGTTCATTAAAAACTAAATAAGAAACTGCGTTTTATAACGTAATATTAAGAAACAGATATTCTAAGTCACAACAAGTAAGTTATCATGTAAGTTTGATGTGATTAATATTCAAATTATATCGAATAGGTCATGGATATGAACAGCTTAACTCAGAGGACGATGGGTGATGGAATGGACTGTTCTCTGATCAATTTCTCCGAAATAATCAGCAAAAACTTGAGCCAAGTCAAATTAGGAGCTGTGCACCATTCAACAAAACCAATCACGCCGCAGGGTCCTATAATCAGAACAATTCCCAAATACATACCAAAGGAATGTAAAAAGCCTAGTTATTTAGTGAAGAAACCAAAGGAAGCAAAGTTTGTCCCTTATGAACCATTCAAAGCGGCAGTGGATCCAATTATACCAAAGAAAAGGGTACTTAAGGTGAACAGCCCACCGATCAGTAAAAACAATGTGGATATACAGGATTTGGTGCATCAGATGTCTGAAATGAGATCTGTGGAATTGGGAAAAGAGAAGAAAGAGGCTCTGATGAATAATGAGTCTATTATTACGATGAAACAGTGGGAGGATGATAGGTTAGCTTACGAGACGGATATCAAGAACCTCAGAGAAACCAATGCACATTTAGAAAATCAACTTAAATTCCAAGCTCAAGTAAATTTGCTCAACGAGTTTTTATATGAATTTTTTTTAAATATTCTGTTTTTAGGTAAATAGTGAATTGAAGACATTGTTGGTTGCAGCAGTAGGCGAAGATTTGGAGAGTAGAGTGCAACATTTAACTGAGGATAAACTTCAATTGGCTAGGGCTTTGTTGAATTCAGCGAATCACTTGACCTCGCACCAGGAGCAAACTGAATGGCTTTCTGGGCAATGCGAAGTTTGGAGGAGCAAGTTTTTAGCGTCAAGGTTTGAACTTGGTTATTAAAGATATTGGATTATTAATTTTCTTTTAAATTCCAGTTTGATGGTCGAGGAATTGGCTAGGTGGAAATCGGCTTTCAGTTACAGAATCAACGATCTTCAAGAAAACTTGAAACTCTTAATTAACGAACGAACGAAAGTCAGGAATTCTGCGTTGAAGACGTACAAAGTCTTAACGAGAATAGACGAAACTTTACCGGAGCGAACTTTAAGCTGTTTGAAGAGTACAAACATAATTGACTTGGCTGTAAACAACTGTAAATTGGCTGAACATATTGGAGGACATTTCGTTAAGGAGGACAAGGAATTGGATGAGAATATTTTGAAGTTACCCACCAATACGCCTGGAGAGAATGCCGCAGCCAGGATCTTGAAGAATCAAGTTTCTTTGACGTACAAACCAGACGCAGTGTGTAATGCCTTGATGGGCGCTGCGATGTCTTTGAGTGGAGGCCAAATGTACCTGCAACATCCTACCATGCATGCCACCTGTTGCAAACACTGCACAGGCGAAATCCACGATATATGAATCATTCATGGAGCAATCTTATCATAGTTAAGCAATACCCAGTTATACCTGTAATGTAATTTATAAATTATTAAGCGTCTGTTAACTGTAACGAATAGAATATTGATAACATGTCAGGGATTTTAAGAAGCAATTAAAGATTATATATTTTACTAAGAAAAATTATACTGTTGTCTTTAATTTACATGTTTGAGTAACCGAGATATAGGTTACTATTACTTAACAGATTTTTCAAGTTTATCTGAAAATTAAAAAAAAAAATTTCAAAAACAATAATTAATTGCTCATTTCTTAAAACTTATTAACAAGATTAAAGGCCAAATTTTTCATAATAAAACATATTTTTTCAATGAATTAAATAATATTGTTTCATTTGAAACAGGAATAAAATAACAATAAATCTAAAAATGAAAGTGCTAATAATCTATTTTCGAACAGAATTTTTGTCAATAAAAACTAGTATCCATTAGTTAAATAAAGTAACAAAAATAAAATTCCAAAGATTGAATGACTATAAAAGCCAGAAAGGAAATGAAATAGAACCATTATTGAATAGAAAGATGCATCAACTCTCGTTAATTGCAATTCTAACAGTAGCTGCGTCTGCATTCGCTTACGATTTTCGTAAGTACTGGAAAAGTGATATACTATTAATAGAAAACGAACAATTCCAGCAAACTATGTAACGCCATGTTCAAGACATGATCCACATCTGAACGACTGCATAAAAAAGAATTTCGAGCAAGCCCGGCCGCACTTAGAGGAAGGAATTCCGAAATTGTTCGTGCCTTCTATGAACAAATTCGAAATCACGAAGGTCGAAATGGTCAGCGACCTTTTAAATGTATTGGGCACAAATGTGGCTCTTTATGGATTACATAACGTTGCCTTAAAAGATGTGCAAGTTGATTTGATCGAAAAAACATTCAAATTTGATTTTATATTAATTAATTTCGAAGCACGAGGTGACGTGGATTTGGAGGGTAAGCTGTTAAACTCTATTATAACAACAAATGGAAGAACTTACGGGAATGGAAGTATGTACATTATACATTATTATATAAGAAGTATTTTAAAGTTTCTTTTTTTTACAGCCGATTTTCATGTTTCGCTAAAATTCGATGCGGAGGAATACGAGAAGAAGAACAAAGTGTATTTAAAAACGAAGAACGTTCAAGTGACAACGAAGAATAACGGCAGATTCTTCTTCGATTTTGGAAATCTCAAAGAAAACAACGAGGGTGCAAGTCGGGCCCTAAATGGATTCATCAACGAAAATCAGGATTCGTTTGTAGACACCCTTAGTCCCATTCTTGAAAACGTATTTGAAGGAATCATCGCGGAAATATTCGTGAGAATGTTTTCTAAAATACCGTACGACGAATTGTTTCCGAATAATTAAAAGTGTTTAGAATTTTGATCTATTTCTTGACAATAAAGATATTGCAAAGAATGTCCGGTATTTACTATGCTTCAGCTCCCAAAGCCCATCTCTTAATTCGATCCTGCTTTCATTGGCATATTGATAATAAATAAAGCATTGATCTGTCTGATCAACTTATTTTTCATGCTCAAGAAAAACATTTATTTTTGAAACGAGTTTCCAATGATAATTAAAGTCATTCTTATAAGTATATTTTTATATGCCAGACATTCTTTGTTTGGTATAAAAGCAGGACAATTTTATTGAAACCTGCATAATTTCAAGACAAGATGAAAACTTCATTCGTTACTCTCTTACTCGTCGGTCTAACAGCCGCAGCTCAGCTCCGTAAGTTAAATAGTTTAATAATTTAGTATTATTGTTATTCTTACAATTAATATATATTATTTTAGCTCCAATCATTAAGCGCTGCAATCCGAACATAGGCTTAAGCGCATGCATCAAAAGCAACCTTCAGGCTGCAAAACCTTTGATTCCGCATGGGCTTCCCGGCTGGTCCGTACCCAGTCTGGACCCTTTCTTCATCTCTAGTCAAAGCACCGAAATCCCAGGATTTAAATTAAGCGTGACAAACACTATTATCACTGGATTCAAAGATTTCGACGTTTTAAATGTTCAAGCGGATTCCGAAAATGAAGAGTATAAACTTGAAATTATTGTTCCATTGGCTAAAGCACTCGGAGATTCGGAATTTGTTGGAACATTGTTTGGCGCTCATTTCGATAGCGTTGGAACTTTGAAAGCTAATGCAAGTGAGTTGAGATAATTCCTTCTAGAAATACTACTACTAGTATTTGTTTCTATCCGTTTTAGCAAATTTACACTTTTACTTTTTCTTGAAACTGGAGCTATACGAAAATGGAGGTAAGCTGTATTTGAGGAAAGTGCAGCAAAAGATTAAAGCTGAGTTGGACGGAATTCTGAATTTGGAGCAAGAGGTTT